CCTCTCTCTCTCTCTCTCTCTCTCTCTCTCTCTCTCTCTCTCTCTCTCTCTCTCCTCTCTCTCTGATGTGTTATGGGGGTGTGTCCTTGTCATGGCTCCAGTGTTGATGTCCGAGGACAACTTTGTGTCGTTGGTTCTGTCTGTCCACCTTTCTGTGGGTTGTAAGGATCCAACCCAGGTCATCAGGTTTTCGGGGAATGCTTTTACCTGCTGAGCCGTCTCACTAGTTCCCACCTTGTTTTTGAGGCAGGGTCTCTCCTGTTATTTCAGCAGCTGGGCTGCTTACCTGTGCTTCCCATGGGTTCTTCTGGCTCCACCTCCCTTCTCCCTGCAGGCATGCTAAGATCTCACATAATAGCCACTGCACCCATTTTTTTTTTTTTTTTAAGTAAATATGGATTCCAGGAATTGAACCCAGGCCATTGAACTCAGGTCATGAGGGCAAGCTCTTTGACTGAGTCATTTTGCCAGTCAGCCCTGGATGGATCATCTTGCTATATTAATAGAGTTAGACCATCTTGGTCATATTTTTTTAATTTCTTTTTTTTTTATTTTTATTTTTATTATTTTTTTTTTATTTTTCAAGACAGGGTTTCTCTGTGTAGCCCTCCCTGGCTGTCCTGGAACTCACTCTGTAGACGAGGCTGACCTCGAACTCAATGATCGTCTGCCTCTGCCTCCTGAGTGTTGGGATTAAAAGCGTGTGCCACCACCGCCCAGCTTGGTCAGCTTTTTTGACCCCACTCCGACTACAGTAGATTCAGTTTGTGTACTGTCCTAGAGAGGACAGAGGCAGAACAGAACAAGTTGAGAGCCTCTGGAGAAAGAAAGGAATGCATGCTGGAGTTGAGAAGAGAAGGGCGGGGAGAATGCTGGCGAGACCGTTAGCGCTCTGATAGTGCCACCCTAGGGAGAAGGCATGACCAGGTTCTTTATAGCAGAGAGCCGAACCCCAGGAAAGCAAGCAGGCCACCAACAGTGGGGCCTTCCAGAAATAGCCAGTGCTGCCTGGCAAGGGTAGTAATGGAGCATTCTGTCACAGGAGGTGATGGGGCTGGGCGTGACTCCTCAGGTCCCTGATGGCAGGGGTGTATGGCTGTGGCTCCCATCTGCATGTGAATAGGGTATGGGAAACCGGAGGAATGAGGGGCTTATTAGAGGAAGAGGTTCCCTGATAGAGGCAGCATCTGAGAGTGAGGGGATGGTTGGCTTCATGGAATCGGAAGTACAGGGGAAACAGAGTGGATTACAGGGGCAGGAAGACATTCACAGGAGCTGTAGGTAGGCTCCAGGATATGGGTAGAAACTGGTTCTAGCGAGAAGTCCTGAAGGAAGGAGGCAGTGATGGCTAGGTTTAACGATGTCAACTTGATACAACCTGGGAAGAGACTCAGTCCTTCAGATGGTCTGTATTGCCTTCGCCCATGAGCAGGTCTGTGTTAAATTTATGCGGGAAAACCCTGCCCATTGTGGGTGGCACCATTCCTTAGGTCCTGAACTGAGTAAGAGTGGATGGTTGTGAGCCACCATGTGGGTGCTGGGAACCAAACTCAGGTCCTCTGCAAGAACAGCAAGTGCTCTGAACCACTGAGCCATCTGTCTGGCCCTTCTCTCTGCTCCTTACTGGATGTCATGTGACTGGCTGGCCCTCTCAAGCTCCCGCCATTGTGGCTTCTCCACAGTAATAGGCCGTAACCTGGAATCGTGAGCTAAAGTAAACCCTTGCCCTGCCAAGGTGGTTTTTCTCAGGATTTCACAGTAGCTTGAGAGGAAGTGAGGACAGAAGCTGAGAGAACTTGCGAAAGGTGGTTCCTATGGGTTCCCCCCTCAGGGTACTTGAGAACCATGCTAGGTTTGGGATGTCAGACCCAAACCCTCTGATTGGCTGTGGGGCCACTCTGAACGGCACCTTCAGAATCTCTCCCAGGCCCTTCCTTCCCGTCTTTGCCCTCATGAACAAGGTCTAGCCATACACCTGCCAGTCTCGTGTCTAGCTCCAGCCCTTGGGAGGGGGTGGGAATAGCAGGACAGGCTCTAGAGAGATCGAGTGCCTGTGTGAGGGACGGCAAAGTGAGGGACAGAGAAGTACCAGCCCAGCCCCAGGAGTTCCAAGGGTGGAGCAGGGGGGCTCAGAAAGGCCAGCACCCAAGTTCTGAGGTACTTGGTTAGAGCCCAGGGTTGTGTGCATTCTAGGCTCTCTACCAACTGAGCTTTTTTTTTTCAGTGTTATATTTATTATTTTAAAATTTTTAGTATATTTGTATATCTTTGTGTGGGTATGTGCACTTGAGTGCAGGTGCCTGCAGAGTCCAGAAGAGGGCGCCAGATCCCTTTGAGCTGGAGTGACAGGTGATTGTGAGCTGCGTGTTGTGGGTGCTGGAAACCAAAATTTTGATCCTCTCTGTAAGAGAAATATGAGCTCTTAACTGATAAGCCATCTCTCCAGCCCTGTTTTAGTTTTTTGAGACAGGATCTCATGTAACCCAAGCTGGCCTTGAACTCCCCAAATAGCTGGGGATGACCTTGACTCCTCCTCTTGCTTCGGCCTCTGGAGTATTGTTGGGATTACAAGCACATGCTAGCCTGCCCAGCTTTAGATATTCTCAGATAAGGAAACTGGAAACTGGGCATGGTGGTATATTCCTGTAATTCTAGCACCTAGGAGGTGGAAAGATCAGGAAAAAAGGCCACCCTCAGCTTCATATTGAGTTGGTGGTTAGTTTGGGCTACATGAGACTCTGACCCAAAAGTGAAAATAAAGGAGCAGGCAGTGGGTAAAGGTGCTTGCTGTTGGGTTCAAACCCCAGGATCCATATAATGGAAGGAGAGAACCAACTTCTACAATTTATTCTTTGACCTTCTGAGTGCAGGAGTATACCTACCCATGCATGGTGTAAGCATGCATGCCTGTATATACCACAACTATATGTAATTTTTGTAACTGAAATGTTTTAAGTGAATAGGAAAAAAGCAAAAGAGAGCCGGGCGGTGGTGGCGCACGCCTTTAATCCCAGCACTCGGGAGGCAGAGCCAGGTGGATCTTTGTGAGTTCGAGGCCAGCCTGGTCTACAGAGCAAGATCCAGGAAAGGCGCAAAGCTACACAGAGAAACCCTGTCTCGAAAACCAAAAAAAAAAAAAAAAAAAAAGAAAGAAAAAAGAAAAAGAGACGGAACATTCTCCACCTTTCCCGTCTTTTTCTGGGTCCCAGAGCTTGTCAGAGACTGAACAGCACACACCCCAATTCCACTGCTCAGGACCTGGCTGGCTGCATAGTGATAGGGAACAGAGCTCTTACAGGCTGTGCCATGCCTCAGTTTCCCTAAGGTGTGTCCTGTATGACTCAACTCCACAGCCAGGAATGGCCTCTGAGTGTGACAATAGTTCCCAGTGTCTCCTTGTCTATGGGTTGGGGGAGGGATGGCCACCTGGTGGAGTCCACAGGCACTCTGAGGAGAAGGAGCAGAGCGGGGGGGGGGGGGGGGTATTTTAGCTGCCCGGGGGAGGAGGTGTGATCTCTAGATGGGAGGAGGCCCCTCAGCGCTGCCTCCAGAAAAGCTTCTCGCCACCTCTTCTTGCATTCGGTTGGGTCCTGCTTTGACTAGGTAATGGAGCCCAAGAAAATGCCTGTGTCTTATTCTTCTAAGTCCTCTGCCCCTCGAGACAGTTCTCACGATCCCCATTTCACAGAAGAGCATCAGTCTTGGAGGGGTGGTATGTCCCTGAGCCAAGCCTACTCATCGCCTCAACTTAAGTCATGTTGAGAGAGCAGACAGTACCCTCTGTCATCAGGTACTGAGCAGTGAGCCATGGCTGAGCCCTGAGCTCCTGACCCAAAGGTGATAGTTCTTGTCCTAGGTCACATCGGTGTACCTTGGCTGTGGGGAAGGGACATTGAACTATCCGGCTCGTGACCCTGGCTGACTCCAGGTGTTGTTAAATAGGATTGACCATGGCCAGGGCTGGGGAGAGTGCTCCGCAGTTAAAAATGCTTGCCACACAAACAAGAGAACCTGAGTTCGGATCCCCAGAGCCCGTGCCATGTGAGTGTGGAAGCCTGCCTGTGTGATTCCCGCCTCAGAAGGAAGAGACGGGGCATCCCTAGAGCAAGGGGGCTAGTAAGCCTAGGCCATATCTAATCGGCAAGCTCTGGGCTTGATTGAGAGACCCTGCCTCGATCAATAAGGGGGATGAGCAACTGAGGACATCAACTTCAGGCTTCCCCATGTATTTGCACCTCCAGACATACAAATACACATAAGCACACGCACATCACACACACACACACACACACACACACACACACACACACACACGAAAATGGAAAAGGAAAAAAAAAAATGGCCATGGCCAGAAGACAAGCCTAGTTTAATTATTCCCTGGCTGATGATTGTGGTTTTTATATGGCTGCTTTTGGGACACTGGGACCCACAGGTCTTGGAAACTCTGAGCTCCGTTTTAATTGAGAAGCAGGCACGGTGGCACACACCCATAATCCCAGCAGTCAGGAGGCTGAGGTAAGGTCAGGAGTTGAACCATAGCCTGGCCTATAAACTGAGACACTGTCTAAACACAGAACAGAACCGACCATTGGGTCTGGAGAGTAGGAAGCCGTGGGAGTCTGTCAGGCAACTTTTGGAGACCCCAGTGGGACTCAGGGCTCAGTTAACTCGGGCAGCAGCCTACTGGTTGGCTTCAGGCTTAGGGACCACTGGCATGGTTACCAAGTTTCATAGCTACTGGAAGGGGACATGACTCTGTCACCCGCTTGACACTTGACAGGCAGATCTTCTCTACTGTGCTGGGTGCCTGGGGATCCTCCAGGGGGCAGTGTGGCTGGAAACCGGGGCATGGCTTGTCTGTCCTTGTTCCTGCCCAGAGACTCCCAAGAGAGCGATAAATGGCCAGAGAGCCTCATTGTGCCTGTGTGTGAAGAAGGTTCATCGTTAAGGGTCCCAGGGGACCCACACATGTCCACTCACATGTATATAACCTTGTCCAGGCCAAAGACAGCGATGACGATGACGATGTCACTGTCACCATGGACCGAGACCGCTTCATGGATGAGTTCTTTGAACAGGTAGGAACCAGCCTGCTCTGTGTCTCCTCTTTGCACCTGCTAGTCCTCACCTAGGAGCTGGTGCAGGACTCTCTTACACCTATGCCTCCCCCAGCCACTCCCGCTCCCATCTCCCCACCCCCAACCCCGGGCTCCAGTGTGAGCCAATTTGAGGGTGGATTAGGTTGATGCTAAGCAAAGCAGAGTCCTTGCTTGGGACTTCCTGGGAGCTGTCGCCCAGCTCCCGCTGCTGGCCCATCTTTCCTCTGATTCCCTACTCTGTTTTCCTCTAACCTCCCTGACCCGGGTCCCCCAGGTGGAAGAGATCCGGGGCTTTATCGACAAGATTGCCGAAAACGTGGAGGAGGTGAAGCGGAAACACAGCGCCATCCTGGCCTCCCCCAACCCGGACGAGAGTGAGTGAGAGTCCGAGCCCGAGCCCGAGCCGCCCTACACTGGGGTGTGACGGGCAGTGGGGTGTTTGACCTGCTCGTGCAGAAGACAGGGCTCCTTGCACTGGAGTTGAACTAGTCTGTGTCTCCTGTCACTGGGAGACCATGACCTACTGTGAAGATTGCCATGGCTGGGGATGGCAGTACCCACCTGTGATCCCAGCAGGTGGTGGTTGGAGGGTCAGGAGTTCAAGGGCATCCTCTACTACAAAGAGAGTTCCAGGCCAGCCCTCACCCTCCCCAGCTACCTGGGTTTTCCCTAAGGGCACAGGGATGGCAGGCAGCTCTCCTGGGATGTTGGGAAGGAGGGTCCATGCATGGATGGATGGATGGATGGATGGATGGATGGATGGATGGATGGACGGATGGATGGGATGGATGGATGGATGGATGGATGGACAGATGGATGGATGGGATGAATGGATGGATGGATGGATGGATGGATGGATGGGATGGATGGATGGGGGAAGGGTAGATGGAGGGGGAGATGGAATGGATGGATGGATGGAGGGATGGGATGGATAGATGAAGGGATGGGATGGGGTGGATAGATGGTGGATGGATGGATGGATGGATGGATGGATGGATGGATGGACAGACAGACAGAAGGACAAAGTAAGTTGCCTGATGCCCAGCCCAACCCCACCCTCCTTGACTCCCCAGGGAGCAGATGGCAACTCTGAGGTGGTTCTCTGACAGAGCAGGCAAAGCTTCCTGCGAGATCTGGCACCCTGCCTGATTAGTAGCCCAGAGCCCCACATTCTCGTGGCTCCAGGAAGTCGGTCACCTGTCTCCCTTCACACAGGGAGCCATTGTGTATCTAGATCCTACTCAGCCCTAGACAGGGTCCCTTGACCTGGCCTTTGGCCTTCACACTCCTGTTGAGGGGTGCATGCGTGCGTGCGTGCGTGCGTGCGTGTGTGTGTGATGGATGTGAGGTGTGTTTGGCTACATGTGCCCATATGTGGACATGCAGGCCCAGAGCAAACTGTCAGGAGTTGTCTTTGTCCTCTTTTGCTTTTTATTTTGCTTGTGTTTTTTTTTTTGTTTTGTTTTGTTTGTTTTGTTTTTTGAGATAGTGTCTCAATCAGGTGGTGGTGGTGCACACCTTTAATCCCAGCACTCAGGAGGCAGAGGCAGGTGGATCTCTTTGAGTCCGGGGCCAGCCTGGTCTACAGAGCAAGTTCCCGGGCTGCACAGAGAAACCCTGCCTCAAAAAACCAGAGCGGGAGGGCAGCCCAAGCTAGCTTCTATTATTTTATTATTAGATTTATTTTATATGCAGAGTGTCTCGCCAGCATGTATGTATGTGCACCATGTGTGTTTCTTGTGCCCATGGAGGTCAGAAGAGGGCACTGTGTCTCCTGGAACTGGATGATTGTAAACTACCATGTGGGTGCTGGGAACTGAGCCTGAGTCCTCCTAACCACTTGACCCATCTGTCCAGCGCTCTCTCTCTCTCTCTCTCTCTTGGTTTTTTGAGACAGTGTTTCTCTGTGTAGTTTTGCTGCCTGTCCTGGAACTCACTCTGTAGACCAGGCTGGCCTCGAACTCACAGAGATCCACCCGCCTTTGCTGGGGTTAGAGGCTTGCACTACCCACCGCCTGGCTTGGCTGGAATTATGGGCACGTGCCACCACACCTGGTAATCTGTTGGGACAGTGATTGCCACATTGATATTTAGCAGGGCCCAACCAAGACCCTCTGCCCTAGAGGGTTTCACCTGCAAGCCCACGGAGGCACTGACTGGCCAGTCCTCTGTCTCATGGACCCAGGCTGGCCAGCCACTCATACGTGCCTGCCCTCCATGGTCACTAGTGGCTGGAAGCTTGCTATCCTGTGTTTCTGTGTCCTCTGGGAGGTCCCAGGCCCTGTGGCTCACAAAAGACAGGGGGGAAGGCTTTTATATCAAGCATGTGTCCCACATCCAGTACCCCTCACCCTCTGGGCCAGAATAAGGCTCCCTCTGGCCCTTTGGTTCAGGATGTTTGAACCAAGAGTTGAGATAGCAGCTGTGCTGTACCTGCCCCCTGGGAAGGCAGGTTGAAGCTTTTGGGACCTAAGGAGACATCCTAGGAGGGGAGGGGAGGGAAGGACCACCTGGGCTATGGAAAGGCAGGCATTCATCTCACTTCATCCCTTTTCCTAAAGATTTGTCCCCGATGGCTGCAGTGATGTACCCATCTATGTTTCTGATTATCTAGGTCACCGTGTGTCCTTGTGTGGGCTGCATAATATGGTAATTTTGTGGTGGGAGGAAAGCAGTGAGCTTTGGATGGAGTGCTTGGCTAGCATGCGCAAAGTCCTGGGTTCAATCCCCAGCTCCCGGCAATTGGGACATGGTGGCACGTGTCTGTAGCCATCCTAGCACTCTGAAGGTAGAGATGGGAGATTAGGAGTTCAAGGTCATCTTTGGCTACACAGTAAGTTTCAGGATAGCCTGGGCTATATGTGACTATATCTGAAGAGAAGTGGGGGTGGGGTGGGGACTGGCAAGGGGACCCCTCAGCTGCTGGAGGTGGGGTGGGCACACCATCCTGGAACCACACAGCTTCCTTCCTCAGCTCCCGTGTGCCACCACTGTCCACACTTAGCCCTGTGTGGCCTACAGAGTGGGTATAGTTAGTTCCCAGGAGCCAGCAGAGCTACATGGAGATGCAGCCACTCATCAGGGGGGAGAGGGCATGCCATGGGGCCGTGAGGCAGGACAGAGCTCAGGAGGAATATGGAAATTGGCAGTGGGTCGGGGGCTCTCCTGGATCAACGCTGCTTCTCGCTCCCCGGGGGCCGCCATCCGGCTGGGCTATTTTAGGTTTGAGCAAAAAAGGCTGAGATGGCAGGAGCAGCTGGTGACCAAGTTTCCTTTTGTTCGTGGGAGGAAGGCTCCCTCCTCCACTCTGCAGAGCCCCCCTGCGCTGCCCCACTCACATTCCACTTAGCAGGTGACCCTCCTATCCTGGTAGATCACTGCTGTCACCCCTAAGCCCGATCCCCAGTGTATGTGGTACAAAAGGTGACAGCCAAGAGCCTGGTCCCAGTTTCTCCTGAAGAGAGGGTGGAACTGGTGGCATCTTGGAAAGGCAGCAAGCCGAGCACCCTGAGGCCTCTGCCAGCTTAGAGTCCTAGCTGCGGCTAGGAGAAGGGCCATTACCTTTATTCACCTCTCATGACCCCTAGTGACCTGTCACCTCCGGGGCTACAACCCCCTGGGGGGCGTATTACCCCTTTGAAACTGCTACCTCCCACCCACGGTGGCTTTCGTCACAGTCACAGCCACTCACAGCCACTCGGGAGCTAAGCACCTAGGAGGGACAGCTTTGTGAGGAGTTCAAGGTCAGCTGTTGCTCGGACTGCCTAGGCAAGGTGGCCCACCCTGCTGACCGGGCAGGTTTCTGCTTCCCCTCCTGAGCCACCCCAGGTGAAGCCAGGTGAACCCAGCCCCATCCCACCCCAGCACCCGACGACAAGTCCTCAGTGCCGACTGCAGCCCGACCAGCCTTAAATTTAGCCCCATCTGTTATCTGCAGGGGATGGGGGGAAGCGGCGGCGGCGAAGCAGGAAGGCGGCTTCTTGGAAGGCAGAGGGAGAGAGGGGGTGAGACTGCCGTTGAGGTGCAACTGTAGACAAAGGCGTAGCCCAGGGAAGAGAGAAGACCACAATGCTGGAGTTTGCCGGGGGCCCCCATCCCACTCCTGGTGCTAGAGGCTGGGTCTGAACAAAGAGGAAAAACCACATGTCTCTCCCCCCCCTCTCCCTCCCCATAGAGACCAAGGAGGAACTGGAAGAGCTCATGTCCGACATAAAGAAAACAGCAAACAAGGTTCGCTCCAAGTTAAAGAGTAAGTCGCTCTGGTGGCTGGGGATGTGGCTCAGCTGGCACAGCCCAGCCTACATGAAGCCCTGAATTTGATTCAGTTGGGTGTGGAGACTCAGCCCTGTCATCTCTGAAAGTGGAGATGTGAGGATCAAGAGTTCAAGGACAGCCTGGGCTGTACGAGAATTATGTAGAAATAATAAATTTTAGAAAGCCCCACCTGAAGAGGTGGTTGGCATCCTGGACTCATGCGGAGACCACACGTTGTGTCTGTGTGCACAAACGTGCATACATGTCCCATGGCCATGGCAGCGTAAGGGACATGTTCTGTCGGTGACAGACACCTGGTCCTCCTCTCTTTCCTGAAAAGAGGAATCTGGGTGCGCACACACACACACACACACACACACACACACACACACACACCCCTGCCTTAGGGTATTCACAGGTGTGGGTGTGCGCACGCACACAAATGTACACAGCTGCACACACTAACCAGCAAGAAGGACCACTATTGTGGACTTCATTATTGTTTACAGTTTGCTTTCCATATGACCCTCCATACCTTTTGACACAGGCGGAGGCCTCACCCCGGGAGAGGGGATGGGTGCTGAAGCCTCCGCTTGTGGGTGGAGCCGATGCATAGGGGCGGGGTACTGCTTAGCCATCCCCTGACATCACCCCCCCCCCCCACCCACCCAGGCATCGAGCAGAGCATCGAGCAGGAGGAAGGTCTGAACCGCTCCTCTGCCGACCTGAGGATCCGGAAGACGCAGGTACAGCAGGACGGCGGCGGGGGTGGGCGGGTCCCTGGGTCCCTGTGGAGCCTGATACCAACCCGCAACACACCTATCTCCCCACCCTCGACCCCTAGCACTCCACGCTGTCGCGAAAGTTTGTGGAGGTCATGTCGGAATACAACGCCACGCAGTCCGACTACCGAGAACGCTGCAAAGGACGTATCCAGAGGCAGCTGGAGATCAGTGAGCTGGGGCCGGGGCCCCGGCTGCATTGGGGGGGGGGGGGGGCTGTGGCTGAAGGAGCGGTTAGATGGGGCTTGTGGCTAGAGATGCAGTTTGGGCTAGAGATGCAGTTTGGGCTAGAGAGTTGGAGCCACAAGCAGGGCCCGTGGTGGTGGTTTAAGCTCTGAAGTGGTGGTAGGTGTGGCCTGTGGCTAGGGGTGTGGTTTGGACTGGAGGGGTCCTTCCGTGAGTAGAGCCTGGGTATGGGGCTTGGGCTAGAGTCGGGTGGGTAGGACCTTGGGGTGCGTATATGGCCTGGCTTGGAAGGATGGAGCCATTGGTGAAGCTTGTGGCTAGAGATGTGGTTTGGGCTGGAGAGATGGGACCCACCCATAACAGCCTAGGGGTGGGGCTTGTAGCTAGAGGTGTGGTGGAGGGTGGGGCTTTGGCTAGGACTAGAAGCTGCTGAGCTCCCTGGAGAGGGCAGGACTTAATGTACTCCCACCCACAGCCGGCCGGACCACGACCAGTGAGGAGTTGGAAGACATGCTGGAGAGCGGAAACCCTGCCATATTCGCCTCTGGGGTGAGTGGGAAGCCCTTCCCTGTTACCCATAAACCACATCCCTCCACACTAGGCCCGGTGTGTGTGCGCCAGAGCCAGGGTCGGGGCAGTGTTTGGATTTTAGAGAAAGCCTGAGTTTCCAGAGAAGGGAGGGGGCCAGGGTGAGGGTCCCATAAATGTCAGTGATAAAGGTGAAAATCAAAACCTGTGTCCAGGTTGAGATGGCTCATCAGGGAAAGGAGCTCGCTGCCAGGCCTGGCGAGCTGAGTTGGATTCCCTGGGACTCAAACGCTGGAAGCAGAGAACTAACTCCTGCAAGTTGTCTACACACACAGACACACAATTATACACATACATGCATACATACACACCTACCATAGACACATATACACACAGACACACACATACATGCATACATACACACCTACCATAGACACATATACACACAGACACACATACACACACAGACACACACAACACATTATACACATACATGCATACATACACACCTACCATAGACACATACACACAGACACACACATACACACACACAAAACACATTATACACATACATGCATACATACACACCTACCATAGACACATATACACACAGACACACACACACACACACAAAACACATTATACACATACATGCATACATACACACCTATCATAGACACATATACACACCCAGGCCACAGGTGAGAGGCGAACTTCTGGATCAGTGAGAGACCATGCCTCCCCGGGGGCAGGGCTGACAAGATGACTACGAGGGGAAAAGAACTTGCTGGCAAGCCTCCTGACCCGGGTTCGATCCCCAAGAACCACACAGTGGAAGGAGAGAGCTGGCTTCCCCAAGCTGTCCTCTGACTGCAAGCAAGCCGTGGCGTGCATGCACTCCCACACAGGCAAATAAACAAAAACAGATGTAAACACGTTTGTAAAAAAACCGGTGAGATAGAGAGTGATAGAGGGAGAATACTTTGTTCTGGCCTCTGGCATGTGTACAAGTTGATATGCGTGTGCACATACACACACACACACACACACACACACACACACACACACACACACAAATGTTTAAAAAAACAGGACTGGGCTGTAGCTCAGTTGTAAAGTGCTTGCCTGCCACTCATGAAACCCTGGATTTAGTTCTTAGCACTTACTAAACTCCAGCGTGGTTGCAGGCCTGTAATTCCAGCACTAAAGAGTTAGAGGCAGGCCAGGCGTGGTGACACACACCTCTCATCCCAGCACCCGGGAGGCAGAGGCAGCGAATCTCTGTGAGTTCGAGGCCAGTCTTCTCTACAGATCGAGTTCCAGGACGGCCGGGACTGTTATACAGGGAAACTCTGTCTCGAAAAAGAAAAAAGAAAGAGAAAGAGGTAGCGGCAGGGGGATCAGGAGTTGAAGGTTATCTGTGGCTACATCGCCAGTTCCAGGTCAGCCTGGGACACACGAGATCCTGTCTCAAAACAAAGATGGTTCAGCAGGTAAAAACACTTGCCACCAAACCTAAGTACCTGGGTTTGATGCCCAGGACTCTCTTTATGAAAGGAGAAAATGGACTTCTTGTCTGGCTTCCACATATGTGCTGTGGGCATGCTTGCACGCACGCGTACATAGTTAATAAATAATGGGTGTGTGTGTGTGTGTGTGTGTGTGTGTGTGTGTGTAGTGACAGGGTCTCACTTTGTAACCCTGGCTGTCCTGGAACTCTTTGCATAGACCTGGCTGGTTTGGAACTCAGAGATTTGTCTATTTGTCTGCTTATGCCTCTCAAGCGCCGGGATTAAAGGTGTTCACTACCATCCCTGCCATAAATAAAACAGTCACTTGCTGAGCACTCACTGTGTGGGGGAGCGTCAGCAGCTCCTTGTCTCAGGCAGGAATTGAGTCACACAGAAGCTAATTAGCAATGGAGCCAAACAGGAGGTTGGAAGGGCTGTGGCTGCTGCTTCTGGGAAACCTGCTCATCCCAGCCACCTTCCTCCTTGGCCCCTGTTCCAGCTTCATTTCTGTTGCTGTGATAAAATGGCCCTGACAAAAAGCAACTCAGGGGAGAGGGGCCATGTTTCAGCTCACGGGAGCTTAAAGTAGCTAGTCACATCACAGCCAAAGCAGAGAGAAAATGCAGTTTGCATGCCTAGTGCCCAGCGAGCTTCTGTGTAGGGAATGGTGCCACCCACAGTGGGCTGGGTCTTCTCACATCAGTTAACACTGATAATTAAGACAGTCCTTCATGGACATGTCCCTCCCTAAGCTGATTTGGACAGTCTTCATTGAGATGAGACTCTCTTCCCAGATGATTCTAGGTTATGTCAAATTGATAAAAACCAACCATTGAACCAGGAGAAATGACTGTGGTTAAGAGTCCTTGCTGCAGCCAGGCAGAGGTGGTGCATGCCTTTAATCCCAGCACTTGGGAGGCAGAGGCAGGTGGATCTCTGTGAGTTCGAGGCCAGCCTGGTCTACAGAGTGAGTTCCAGGACAGGCTCCAAAACTACACAGAGAAACCCTGTCTCAAAAAACAAAACAAAAAAAGAGTCCTTGCTGCTCTTCCAGAAAACATGAGTTCATTTCCCAACACCCATGTCTGACAGCTCATAACCACCTGTAACTCCAGCTCTAGGGGCTCCAACACCCTCTTCTGGCCCACAGGCACTACACTCATATACCCAAACAAACATATACATAAAAATTGAAGAAAAAAAAAAATGACAGCCTCCCCGCTCTCCCAGTCCTGGTCTCTAGTCCCTCTCCTCAGCATCAGGGTCCCACTGCTCCTCTACTCCCTAGATCATCATGGACTCCAGCATCTCGAAGCAGGCTCTGAGTGAGATCGAGACCAGACACAGTGAGATCATCAAGCTGGAGAACAGCATCCGGGAGCTACACGATATGTTCATGGACATGGCCATGTTGGTGGAGAGCCAGGTGAGTGCCCTCGTCCCCGGTGTTAGGACCTCCGGCTCCCAGCAGCATCCGGGACCACACTAACCCCTTCCCTTTTCACCCAACACGCTGCTCTGCCCGGGAGGGACAGTGTCTTCAGGTAACCATAGATGGTTTTAAGGACCTCCAGGGATTCTGTTGCATGGCTCTGCTTGGCTTCCCAGGCCTTGCATGGCCCCACCCCTCACCCCGGCCCTGTCCTGGCTTCACAAACTATGCTAGGGGCCACTGTGGACTGGCTACCTTGCTAGGAGCAGAAGGCGTAGCAGTGAACAAGACAACCTCCATCAGCCCCAGGCACATGGTGCACAGATGTGTATGCCGACAAAACACCCACACACATTAAAATAATAATTTTGTTTTTAGTTCAGGGTCATCGTATGCTACATATCAAGTTTGAGGCTGGCATGGCATATGTGAGACCCTGTCTCCAAAACAAAATATGCTCAATGGTATTCAGCACCACCAGTTTTCCTACCTCATCTGTCTCCAACTTGGGCTTGGCCTTGACCACTCCCTGTGTCCCACAGACCTCCTTTCTCCTCAAGCCCAGCCTCCTGCTGAGCCCTGGGCACTGCTGGTCCCTCAGCCGGGGGCTGTTCCTCATTTCTCATGGGAACCCTTCCTTAACTGGTCCCTTGGTGTGGAGCAGAGGAAGCCCTGAGTGGATGAAGTCCTGAATATGTGTCAGGACCTGGGCACAGCCTTTAATTTCAGCACTCAGGAGGCAGAAGCAGTTGGATCTCTATGTCTGTGAGTTCAAGGTCAACCTGGTCTACATAGCAAGATGCTGTCTCAAAAACAAAACAAAACAAAACAAAACAAAACAAAACTGGAAGGAAGAAAGAAAGAAGGAAAAGACAAACTTGGAAGGTGGATGTCAGGTAATTACGTTGAGACGGCTCAACCAAGTTGACAAGCACCTCAGTTTGGATCCCCTGGAAAAAGCACCCATGTAAAAAGCCATAGAGGCCCATGCCTCTAACCCCCGTTCTGGAAGCCGAAATGAAGATTTGAGGCTCACTGGCCAACCAGTCAGGCTGATTTGGTGAGTTCCAGATTCAGTGAGAGACCTTGTCTCAAAGAAATAAGGCGCGCGCGCGCACACACACACACACACACACACACACACACACACACACACACACATACCTGTCTATACCTACAATCTCATAGGTGTGCGCCACTATATTCAGTTGTCATGATGCTGGAGATCAAATGTGAGACATCCTGCATTCTAGGCAACCACCGTAGCGAATGAGCTACATCTCCAGCCCCCCGAGGCCCCCCCCTTTATTTCGAGACAGGGTTTCTCTGTGTAGTTTTGGTGCCTGTCCTAGATCTCGCTTTGTAGACCAGGCTGGCCTCAAACTCACAGAGATCTGCCTTTGCTAGCTTTGCCTCCCGAGTGCTGGGATTAAAGGCGTGCGCCACCGCAGCCCTTTCTTTTGAGATGGAGTCTTCCTTGGCTGGCCTCAAACCTACGGCAGTCCTCCACCCTCAGCCTCCCGAGTGGTGGACTTACAGGTCTAAGTCACCATGTCTGGCTTTGTTGATGTGGATTTTGCTGTTGTTGACTTTTAGTTTTGATTTTGTTTTGTTCTTTTGCCTTTGTGAGACAGTCTTTTTGTCTGTTTTGGTCATTTTGTTGTTGTTGAGGGGTTGTTGTGTGTTTTGTGATTTCTTTTACCTTTGTAAGGAAGGGTCTTGCTATATAGACCAGGCTAGCCTTGAACTCTTGATCCTCTTGCCTCAGCCTCCTGAGTGCTAGGCTCACATGTCCTACCTGGCTAGACTAGGGGTTTTACGGGTAGGCATGGCATAGCCTTAAGTACTGGAGAGGTCTGAGGAGGCTGCTGCTGTGCACTGGTGAGAAGCTATGAGGAGAAGGTATCATCTTTAGACTGAGACACAACATTGCTGTGAGTCTTGTCGGGACAGTGTCACGGTCAGATGAAGAACTTGGAACCCAAAGAGGACTATAGGACTGGCCAAAGGGTCTCAACGTTTGAAGACAGCAGACATTAAAAGCTTCATGGAACTGGTCCCCTAGGGAAAGAGTAAGAGGCTTGTCCATGTTCACCTGGTAAACCTTGGCCAGGGCAGGCTCAGACTGCAGCCCACCTACTCCTGCCCTGCATTTGCCTGGCATTGTCCACTTCCTGGGGTCACAGCTGACCACCCTCCGCATGGTCCTCACCCTTGCCTGGCACTGCATGGACAATTTCACCCCCAGGATGGCTGCTGTTTGGGAAAGGTGGGAGCTACTCCTGGCATGTCTTATTATGCCCAAGATGCCCTGGCCTGGCACCTGGCCTGGTGGCACAGGTGAGAAGCTCCATGCCCTCCTCACAGCTCTCTTCTCTCTCTCTCTGAATTCAGGGTACTTTCCCGAATCCCTACCTGAGCTCCCTTCTGGTTCTGAGGAGGGAGGCCTGGACCTTGGGTCCCCCTGGTCCTGCAGGGGGAGATGATTGACAGGATCGAGTACAATGTGGAGCACGCTGTGGACTACGTGGAGCGGGCTGTGTCTGACACCAAGAAGGCCGTCAAGTACCAGAGCAAGGCGCGCAGGGTCAGTGGCCAGCTCTGTCCAAGCCTATGCATGCCCTAGAGAGCCACCAGACTGTGAGATACTCCTCCCCACCTGCCTCAGTCCCGTTTTCAGAATCTCCAACCATAGCCTTCACCTCTCCATCAACAATCCTTTCTAGGCCATCACCTACCCCTAGTCCTGACCCTCCAGATCTCAACCCTCATTTTGATTTTTTTTTTTAAAGATTTATTTATTTATTTTGTATACAGCATGTATGACCAGAAGAGGGCACCAGATCTCATTACAGATGGTTGTGAGCCACCATGTGGGTGCTGGGAGTTGAACTCAGGACCTCTGGAAGAGCAGTCAGTGCTCTTAACCTCTGAGCCATCTCTCCAGCCCCTCATTTTGATTTTTGATTATTGTTTTTTTTTATATTGGGGGGGAGTGGAACCCAGGATCTAGCACATGCTAGACAAAAGCTCTACCACTGAGCCACACCTCCAGCCCCTCACTGGGGGACTCCAGGCAGGTGCTCTACCACTGAGTCACACCCCAGCCCCTCACTGGGGGATTCTGGGCAAGTGCTCTACCACTGAGCCACATCCCAGCCCCTCACTAGGGGATTCCAGGCAGGTGCTCTACCACTGAGCCACACCCCCAGCCCCTCACTGGGGGATTCTAGGCAGGAGCTCTACCACTGAGCCACACCCCCAGCCCCTCACTGGGGGATTCTAGGCAGGTGCTCTACACTGAGCCACACCCCAGCCCCTCTCTGGGGAATTCTAGGCTGGCACTATTATCTAGCCCCAGCCCAGTCCGTCATGCTGGTCTCTCCTTCACTGCACCCCTGTGGCTCCTCTGAGGCCTACTCTTTGTCTCCCTGCAGAAGAAGATCATGATCATCATTTGCTGTGTGATTCTGGGCATCGTCATCGCCTCCACCATCGGGGGCATCTTTGGATAGAAACCGGCCCCTCCCACCTCTCCACTCTGGATGGGTCTCCCTGAGGAGGCCCCTGGCTGCTGTGTCTGGCTGGGTTGCCCTCCCCACCCCTGCCTTCTGGCCGGGAGCCCTTCCCCTCCCATCCCACACTGCTCCCTCTCTGCCATGAGGCTCCCGTCCCCACCACCCTGCCCCAAGCCGTGTCGTGTGCATGATCTTGTGACAGTGTGTGTCTGTTCAGGAGGCAGAGGGGAGCAGGATCGGGAACGGCCAGAGGGGCTGGGGACAGGTCAGTGTGGGCAAGACTTGGGCCCTAGCCAGGTCCGCCTTTCTTCAGGCCTGAGGTCTACCCTCCTCTGGAACTCGGGCTCCTTTCTGGCCCGCAACCTTGCCCTCACCTGCCCTGCCCTCTGGCTTCTCCAGCTCTCCCCACCATGCCAAGGCACCTGGAGGGTGGGGACCAGCTGGTCACATGGTGCTGCTTTTCAGGTTAGGGGAGAGGTGTCCCAAGGGATAGCCCAGCACTGAAGTTCTTTGTGAGCTTAACCACTGCCAGGAGGCTCAGGGGCCATAGCTGCTGGTGTTTTAGGAGCACCCAGTATCCCCACTTTGAGCAAAGCCTGACAATGTCTCTGGCCTCAGCTGCCCGTACCACAGCCCTGGGGGTCATGTCCCTGGGCTGGGCCTGAGCCTAGTGAACTTGTGCAAGAAGTTTGGTGGTATCCTCTCCAGCCTTGCTTGTAGCTGAGAGGTGGAGCAGACCTCAGGCCTCTGCCTACAGTCTCTAACAGGCATGTCGGGTCGCGGCCAGAGTTGCATGTTGGGGACAGTGGTCCCCTGCTCTCTCTATGCTCTGAAAAGCCAGGTGTCACTTTGGGCCTGCAGTCTCGCCCTGCTCTGTCTCCCACTGATGTGCCACGTGATGTCAGGTGTCCTGGATGCAGTATTCAGCAGCCAGCTGGGGGGGGGGGCTTCCCCACTTCCCTCCCCTGCCATCTTGGGGCTTCTCAGAGTCAAAAAAAAAATATACCCCCTGCCCCAGGAACCCTTTCTCATGCACAGGCAAGGAGTGTGCATGCGTGTGCATGCAGCGGGAGTTGGGGCCGTGTCTGTGTGCCCCCGTTCCTCAGCTTTGCTCCTGCCCAGTGACTGTGACCACTGTCCGTGCTGCCTTCTCTCACGGCCCCTCCCTCCACCCCTTCACCAAAGGTCTTGGTACAACCAGCTGCCCATTTTGTGAGATTTTTATGTAGAATAAACATTTGTATCTGTAGTGAGCCTCTGTTTGCAACTTTTTTTTTTTTTTGCCTTCTGTTTGCCGAGTCAGGGATACGGGATCAACCCTGTGGGGACCGAAGGGGAAGGGGCTCAGAGATGGAGGGTCCCACCCTTCCCCCAGTACACAGGCCTTCCGCTCCCTCTGGGTGGTCAGTGGGTAACATCTGGGCTTTCCTGAGACAGTCCCAGAACCCCACCCTTACCTAGGGGACAGCTAGTGCCTTCGCTCATCAGAGGCGTGGCTTCAGATCTTTCATCAGTGTGAATGTTTTGTCAGCATGCATGTGTGCGCCTGGGGCCTGCAGAGGTCACACGAGTGGGTTGGGTCCCCTGCAGCTGGGTTTATGGATGGTTGTTAGCCACCATGTGGGCGCTGGGAACCAGTTCCAGTTTCTCTACACAAACCAGTGTCCTTAACCACTGAGCCATCTCTCCCACCCCCAGATCTTTTTCTCTTTTAAGTTTTGTTTAAGACAGGGTCTCGCCGGGCGGTGATGGCGCACGCCTTTAATCCCAGCACTCGGGAGGCAGAGCCAGGCGGATCTTTGTGAGTTCGAAGCCGACCTGGTCTACAGAGCGAGATCCAGGGAAAGCGCAAAGCTACACAGAGAAACCCTGTCTCAAAAAAAAAAAGGGGGGGGCTGGAGAGATGGCTCAGAGGTTAAGGGCACTGAATGCTCTTCCAGAGGTCCTGAGTTCAATTCCCAGCACCCACATGGTGGCTTACAATCATCTGCAATGAGATCTGGCACCCTCTTCTGTGTACACAATAAATAAATAAATCTTAAAAAAAAAAAAAAAAAAAAAGACAGGGTCTCACTAGGTAGCCCCTACTGTTCTGGAACTTACTACGTAGACCAGGCTGACTTCAAAGTCAGAGAGATCCATTGCTTTGCTCTGCTTCCCAGTAAGCCACTAAAGCCTGACCACCTCAGTCCAAATCCACATGGCAGAAGACAACCGACTCCCAGAAGCTGTCCTCTAACCTCCACACAGGCAGAGTAACACACAAGTTAAAGAAAAAAAAAAATATATATATATATACACACACACACACACACACACACACACACACACCCCTTGTGAAAGGATGATAAACGGCACTAGTGATGGCTCTGGTTACCGCTAAAAGGTCACGGTCACGAAAGAACCCAGTGTTAGTTTTCAGAGCTTTATTAGGAGGGAAAAGGTGGGAAGGGGAGAGAGGAGAGCCAGGCCTGGAGAGAGAGAAAGATGGCGGGTGGGGGGAGCAGAGCAGAGAGGGTGTGGGGTCTGCATCGGACTTTTAAGGCACAAATTGTGTGACCACACCACGCGTAAGTAGTCACCAGTGCACACTGATGACATAAGACGCAAGGCCTTTTGCTTAACTCCTGAACTGCGCATGTGCGGTCATGTAGCTGGAGTGAGGGCCGAATTCTAACACCTTGAGAACCAAGGTACACACAAAGCTGACATGTGTTGGCTTGAGGCAGACACTCCCTTCTGGGATTAAAAGGGAGGGAGCACCACCATGCCTGGCTGTTTATGTATATGTGTGTGAGTGTGTCTGTCATGTGAGTGCAGGTGCCTGTGGAGGCCAGAAGAGGGCATTGGGTCCCCTGGCGCTGGAGTTATAGGTGGTTATGTGGGTCGTAGAAACCGAACTCAGGTTCTTGGAAGAGAAGTACATGCTCTTAACCACTGAGCCACCTCTCCAGCCCCTTAAAAAAAGTTAACAGAGGTTAAGAGCACTGACTGCTCTTCCACAGGTCCTGAGTTCAACTGCCAGCACCCACATGGTGGCTCACAACCATCCATAGTGAGATCTGGCGCCCTCTTCTGGCCTGCAGAGATACACGCAGACACTGTATACATAACAAATCTTAAAAAACAAAAGTGTGCACGTGTGCCTGAGTGTGTGTGCATGTGTGAGGGGGTCAAAGGACAACCTCTACCTTGTACAGCTGACCCTGAGTTTCAGGGCCTCCTGCCTAGCTAGCATGCAGCACTACTGCATCCAGCCTCACTGCATGGCAAGAACTGTACCTACTGAGCGAAGGTCTTGGAGCTGGTCCCTAGGAGATGCCACTCCAGGGGTTAAGGCCTTAGGGCCCTCGGCCTCCCTGTCCAGTGCCTTCCTGCTATGCTATGTCCAGGTGTTGTTCCCCCTCCCCCAGGGCCCACAGAACACATCCATCAAATAGCCTCAGCCTGGTGGACGCCACACATCCCAGAGCAGGACTTGCAACTGTCCAGACAGCCCGAGGCTACCAAGTGCGAAGACATTTGACACCTCCCACCCGAGGCCAGGGACTTAAAGAGTGGCAGAGACCTGAGGCAGTGGAGACCCCAATACCTGAACCCCATTCCCAACCTTGCATGACATCATGACATGAGAGATGAGTCCTGATTCAAGGGACCCACCTGTGCCTCCCACAAGCTGCAAGAATGCTTCTGTCCATTCCAGGTCTTTAAGTCCAGTCCCTGCCTGGGAGCCAAGCAGTGGTCCCCAATATAGGAAGCTGAGACACAGATTAATATAGAGCCAGGAACACCAGTTACTTAGAAAGTTATTTAATGCATTTAAGACAAAATAAAACATCCTTAGAAATTTTTTTTCTTTTTAGTTTTTTTCAGACAGATTTTTGCTCTGCAGCCCAGACTGGCCTGGAACTTTCCATCTTGCTGCCTCAGCCTCCCAGGAGGGTGTTGGGATTTCAGGATCTGGGCTGCCAAACCCAAATCCTTGGAACTCTTTTAGTGAAAAAAATATTTTGAGAAATTCGCAACTTTTCTAAAATACTATGTTGCTAGCTGCTGAGGTAAACAGTTCAATCTAGAAAATTCCTCAGAGGCAGGTCCTGGGTTGGACAGCTCCCAGCCACTGAAGGGAGTGGGTGGCCAGGACCATCTGTAGGACTGGATGCAGGTGTGGGTGGCCAGGGCTCTGTCTGCAGGACTGGATGGTGTGGGTGGCCAGGCCCCATCCGGAGGACTGGATGCAATTGTGGGTGTCCAGGGCCATCTGCAGGACTGGATGCAGGTGTGGGTGGCCAGGTCCCGCCTGTAGGACTGGATGCAGGTGTGGGTGGCCAGGCCCCATCTGGAGGACTGGATGCAGGTGTGGGTGGCCAGGGCCCCATCTGCAGGACTGGATGCAGGTGTGGGTGGCCAGGGCCATTGCAGGACTGGATACAGGTGTGGGTGACCAGGCCCCGTCTGCACGACTGGATGCAGGTGTGGGTGGCCAGAGCCGTTGCAGGACTGGATGCAGGTGTGGGTAGCCAGGCCCCATCTGGAGGACTGGATGCAGGTGTGGGTGGCCAGGGCCCCATCTGCAGGACTGGATACAGGTGTGGGTGGCCAGGCCCCGTCTGCACGACTGGATGCAGGTGTGGGTGGCCAGAGCCGTTGCAGGACTGGATGCAGGTGTGGGTAGCCAGGCCCCATCTGGAGGACTGGATGCAGGTGTGGGTGGCCAGGGCCCCATCTGCAGGACTGGATACAGGTGTGGGTGGCCAGGCCCCGTCTGCACGACTGGATGCAGGTGTGGGTGGCCAGAGCCGTTGCAGGACTGGATGCAGGTGTGGGTGGCCAGAGCCGTTGCAGGACTGGATGCAGGTGTGGGTAGCCAGGTCCCACCTGCAGGACTGGATGCAGGTGTGGGTGGCCAGACTCTCCATTTGATTAGATACAGCGCCCTCAGAAGCGGGGCTTGCGCTTTCGACCAGTGTACTGGGTGTCGGGTCTGACCTCCCTGCAGACAGACAGAACAGACTCAGGAGAATGAAGAGCTCTGAGACCCCACAGGCAGGTGACTTCTTGGCGGCCACAGCCTCACCCTCCCTGCCTGCCCATCCCCAGCTGGTACTCACTTGCCCTGGCGCCTGCGCCTCTCCTTCTTCTCTAGGACCCACTCCCGGCTTTTCTTCACCAGGTCCCGCCGTGCCTTCTTGTGTGGCACCCTAGCCAGAGACGGAAGTGAGAGGGTGGCTAAGCTGTGCACGGGGGCAGCTCTGAGGCCCCTTCTTCCCAGGGTTCCCTCTTCCCGTCTATAACCTCCACTCAGGACACTTCCGCCACAGGACCAGAACCCTGGTTTAGCAGAGCTGTGGGGTGCAGTCCCTGTCCCTGCAAGGTATCACTGGTAGATGGCCTTGTGTCTGGCACACACCTCATCCCTGGGGTAACTCCAGGAAGGAGTAACTCAAGAGTCTGGTGGTATCCAAGGAGAGCCATGGTACCTGCACAGTCCAATGCTGCCACTTAAGTTCCTTGTCAGGGTTGGGGTTCAGTGTGCCTAGCAGATGCCAGTGTTGTCTCCCCACACCCACCCCTGCCTCACTCCAGCATCTGTCAATGTCTGAGGCAGGAAAACAAGGCTGCCCACTCATGGCAGTCCTGACGAAGATGCTCCTCACAGACTGATCTTGGCCTCCATCCCTGGCTGAGGAGGAACGTGATCCCCACAGCCCAGGGGACAAAAGGCCCAGAGGGAGCCATGGGGGGAAAGGAAGAGCAGCCATGTTGGTCTGGAAGTCAGTAAGGAGCCTGCCCTCCTCCACTGTGGGCAGGTGAACAGGTCAGTGAGGTTACAGTGACATGACTCGCTATCACGCACACTGGGGTGTGTAAGAATGGCTTGTGACAGGAACCTGGTTGGCCAGGAAGAAGAGGGAAGGAAGGGACTGTGTGGAGTGAGGAAGAGGGAAGAGGGCTGGAATGGCCCAGAAGAGCAGGGGCAGGGCTGGCAGCCATTCTACTCACACAGACACTAGTGTAAAGCTAAGGGACCCTAAGATGCCTGGAGGGGATTGGACACCTTGTACTTCTCTGCAAAGCCGAGTAGAAACATCTAGAAGAGTCCCGGAGCTCAATGGGGCATGAGCAGGGGAACTCAGAAAGGGGTGGCCAAGGGTCAGGGGCAAGGTGTGGTCAGAGGTCAAGGCAATTGCAGGGGATTCAAAGATTGTGCGAACACACGGACCACTGTGGGGGCGGTGTAAACGGGAACATCTTGTGGGATAGAATATGTAAGTAGCCGGGCGGTGGTAGCACACGCCTTTAATCCCAGCACTCGGGAGGCAGAGCCAGGCGGATCTCTGTGAGTTTGAGGCCAGCCTGGGCTACCAAGTGAGTTCCAGGAGAGGCGCAAAGCTACACAGAGAAACCCTGTCTCGAAAAAACAAAAAAACAAACAAACAAAAAAAAAGAATATGTAAGTAAAGATTCTTCTACATGTTTTTACCCAGCTTTGCTGGGGAAGTACCAGGCACCCGACCCCCTCCACGCATCTTAGGGCCGCTCATCCTCACACTAGTGTCTGTTGGTGACGTGTGTTCTCCGTTAGCTGGGCTGTGTTGAGTGGTCTGAGCATCTGTTCCCCAACTATGAGCTACGTGTGCAGACAGGAGTGACTGAGGGTAGAGAGGAGGGTGCAGGGCCAGGGAAGGCTGGGCCCAGGCTGTAGCTAAAAGTGGCTGGTGGGGGGATATGGGAGGAGCACCCTGCCAAGTGTGTGGAGAAGGGGCATGTGCGGGCTCACACAAGACGCCAAGACGCTGTGGCGGCCCCAGTACGCAGGCTGAGGAGGAGGCAGACATAGCCCACAGAGGCACACCGGGTTGTGACATCACTTTGGAACAGCAACTGTGTCTAACCTGACTGGGATGAAAGCCCTTGCCTGGTCCCCACACCTATGCATGCACCTTACCTTTCACTGGTGAAAACGGACTCAGTGGCCTGGTCTGCATCCTGACTTTCAGTCAGCCCCTGTACGAGACAAAACTCCTAAGTCACCCTGGTACTTACTGCCCCAACAGACACATGTGCATCAGGCCTGAGGAACCCCGGCAGGTCTGGAAGTCAGGGTACAGGGGTTGGTGTTCCTTCCTAGGACCTGCAGAAGTCTCAGAGAGTTGGGCTCCATGCAGGGGATTGGGGAACCCTGACCACCGGGGCCCTCCCAGCATGCTCTTGTGCTGGGAGCCCAGAACCCTTACCTTTGGCAGGGAGGTGGAAGGCCCAGAAAACAGACAGAGGTAGAACCTGAAACAAGGCAGGGCAACATGAAGCCTAGCTTACAAGGCCTAGCAGGAAGAGACAAGTCCTTGTCCTCTATCTTTTGTGGCCCTGTCCACCTACCCAGCATTCCTCAGTACCTGCAAGGGCCCCACAGCTGTGCAGACGGCTCTTGGGCCCAGCACTCACTGTGTATGGTATACATGTGCAGTCCGAGGTCCAGCTCATTTTTGGACAGGGTCTCTCACTATCCTTGAGCTCATCATGTAGGCTAGGCTGGCCGGCTCGTGATTCTCCAGAGACCCACCTATCTCGTCTCCCCAGTGCCTCATCGGGGCTCTAAGTACACAGCACCACGCCTGGCCCTTTGCACAGATGCTGGAACCGGGGGCCCAGGCCCTCGTGTTCGCACAGGAAAACACTTCACCCACTGAGCCCCCGCCCCCGCCCCCCACACTCACTTCTTCGCTTTTGCACTGTTGGGGAAGTCCACCACTACGCCACCGGTGAAGCCTGCCCTTGTGGCCTGCGTTGTTATCAGCTCCAGCTGAGGAGAGGGGTCGGGTCAGAGAGTGGATGGAGGGGGGGGGCAGACGCTCTAGAGGTCCTCAGCCCTCCCTGGTCAGACTCTAAAGCACATTCTAGCTAGACCTTTCCACTCAGCGGCCCCCAAAGCCACCAAGGCAGAAAGTGGTAGCTTTCAGTCTCGGCAGCCCCACCCTGAGGAGGGAAGTGTCAGAACAAAGCAGTTCTGCTGGTGGCCACGTACTGGTCCAGGGAGCCATCTCCTGGCCCTCAGGAATCTGGACCAGACTCAGTTCTGTTACGGAGCAGAGGCCTGCAGGTCACTGTCATTCTAGACCTAACTCATGCCACCTAAGGCAGAACTGCTGAGGTCCCCTTGCCTGCTTCCGCTCTACCCCTGGGGTTATGAAGATGCGTAACGTTACAGCTCATTCTACGACATCACCGTAGCAGTTTGCATTTCTCTCTCTCAGTGCTGGGGATGGAGACCAGGTCCTCATGTACTAGATGAGGCTCGACCACAGAGCCACATCCCCAGCCTGCCACTGTATCATCATCTGTCAGCAGGAGACAACACCCCAGCCTCCCCTACAGATACGCCCCATCTTAGGGAGCCATCTGGGGTCACTGTGCCATCAACAGGTGCTCATTCCCTCTGTCCCACCAGGTCGCAAGAGGTCCTTGTTCTGCCATGGTGCCCAGTGGCAAGAAGGCAGCTGAGTGGAGAAGGCTGTTCTCCACCCCATCTCCCTACCCCCGATCTAGCTAGCTGCTCACCTGCTCCGAGTTCTCAGGGTACAGCTGCAGGATGGCTCGGGCCCCGCGGACCTGTAAACAATGGAAATGTCATGACCACAGAAGTACTCGTGGGGTCAGGACCTTCACTTACTAAGTATTTACAAAGCTCCTGTCACGGGCAGAGCTCAGAATGCCACCGTGAACAAGACTCCTGAACCGGGGCCCACGCTGGCAGAGCAGGCACCTGACTTACAGAATGGTGCATGCCTATAACCTATGCCTTTGGGAGGCAGAGGCAGGAGGATCACCACATGCTCAAGCCCAGCTTGGTCTACACAGTAGGTCCCAGTCTCGGAAGAAAAAGGACAGACAAGAATTACTCAGTAAGTGTTGGGATTGCGGTGTGTGCCACAATGTCAGCTGTGAGATGTTTTTTAATTAACACAGACGGTGACAGTGGAGGGAAGTACAGAGGACATGGGCAATCTGGCAGGTGACCTCTGTGTGCTGGACACGATGTCACTATCCTCATTCGATTGCTTCCGATGTTGACTGCGATGCTCCTAGGTTTGGTCAGATGTCAGCCCTGTGCACCTGGGCTTTTTTTCTTTTGCATTAAAAAAAATTATTTTTATATTATGTGCATTGGTGTTTTGCCTGCATGTATGACTGTGTGAGGGTGCCAGATCCCCTGGAACTGGAGTTACAGACAGTTGTTAGCTGCCATGTGGGTGCCTGGAATTGAACCCAGGTCCTCTGGAAGAGCAGTCAGTACTCTTAGCCACTGAGCCATCTCTTCAGCCCCTTCTTTTGCGTTTTTGAGACATCTCTAGATGACTTTGTCTATACAGCCAAGGCTAGCACTGAGCTCCCAACTCTCCATCCAGTCTCTGCTTCCGAGTGTTAGGATTCCAGGTCTATACCAGCATGTCCACCGAGTCTCAACAGCCGGTGTGTTCTTTCTAAGCAGCCTTCCTATCGTGGGCCTTACTTCAGCCTTGAACTGACAAGGCAGGAGAGTGGCGGACTCACGGAAACAGGAGGAGGAGAGCTCATACTCACGAGGACAGAGTACAGGGAAGAAAAGAAGCAGTAGAGACGCCTGGCAGGGACATCCGACTTCTTGTTTGCGTTGCAGAGCCACTGAACAGCTGAGATGCTGGAAAGGAAGGGGTCCAGTCAGGAGGGACCGACGCTGTCCCCACTGTCCTCCTGAGGACTCGGCCACTATCATCCACCACCCGCTTCATGTAGCTCCTGCCCTGCGGAGGCCAGTCCGCTCCTGGTCACTTATACAACCCAGAACCAGTCAGGGCAGCACTCACTTGCTTCTGCCATTCCAGGGAAATGCTTTCTCAACCCAAGTCTGTGTGTACCTCCAGCTGCCAGGCCATGCTGCCCGCCTACCCCTTCACTCTCTTCCGACAATCAAAGGAAACCCACCGGACAGCACGTCCACCCAGCCACTCATCTGTTCTTTCACGTGCTTCCGCTGTATCTATCTCAAACCTTCAGCGGCTGGCACTCCTCTCTCTGGCCCACGGCTCCTCACTGCTTTACACACCCAGCCACAGAATGCCACGTGACTGGCGTGGCATGAGCAAGACCTTCAGCTTGCTCTCCAGTGTCACCAAACAAACACTTCAGCCGGGGAGCACAGGCAGGTGGATCTCTACGAGTCTACATAGGGAGTTCCAGGTCAGACAGGGCTACATGGTGAGTCTCTGTCTTGAAAACCGAACCAAAACAAATCACACACATACACATACAAAAAACCCCAATGCTTCCTATTTCTTTCTTTCTTTCAAAAAAGCATTTCTTTTGATTTATTTATTTATTTATTTATTTATTTATTTATTTATTTATTTATTTATTTATTATGTATACAGTGTTCTGCTTGCATGTATGACTGCAGGCCAGAAGAGGGCACCAGATCTCATTGTAGATGGTTGTGAGCCACTATGTGGATGCTGGGAATTGAACTCAGGACCTCTGAAAGAGCAGCCAGTGCTCTTAACCACTGAGCCATCTCTCCAGCCCCTGCTTCCTATTTCTTTAATATTTTAATTTTGACTTTGAGCCAGGATCTCATGTAGCCTAGCCTCTGACTCGTGGCAGAGGATGAGCTTGAACTCCTGATCCTCCTGTCTACACCTGTTAAGAGCAGGGATTATAACCATGTGCAGCAGCATTTCACATTTCTAACAGTAATTTTAATGCTCCAAAGCTGGTCATGAACGTCCAGGGGCTGGAGAGATGGATCAGTGACTAAGAGCACTTGCTGCTCTTGGAGAATACACAAGTTCAGTTCTCAGCACTCACACAGCAGCTCACAACCATCTCTAGTTCCAGGGGATTGGATACTTCTCTAGCTACCCCAGGGACCAGGCATGCATGTGGTACACACACACACACACACACACACACACACACACACACACACACACACAGGCCAACACACACACAAAATAAAAGTAAGTTGGGTTTTTTTTTTTTTTTTGGTTTTTCGAGACAGGGTTTCTCTGTGTAGCTTTGCGCCTTTCCTGGAACTCACTTGGTAGCCCAGGCTGGCCTCGAACTCACAGAGATCCGCCTGGCTCTGCCTCCCGAGTGCTGGGATTAAAGGCGTGTGCCACCACTGCCCGGCCTGTTTTTTTTTTTTTTTAAATTCAGTCTTTCAAGACAGGGTTTCTCTGTGTACGTAGTCCTGGCTACCCTGAAACTTGCTTTGTAGACTAGGCTGGTCTTGAACTCAGAGATACACCTGCCTTTGCCTCCCAAGTGCTGGGATTAAAGGGGTATGCCGCCACCACCACCTGGGAATAAATTATAGGTTCAGTGTGTTTATGATCCCAGCATGGGGGAATGGGAAGCAGAGCCAGGCAAATGCCTGGAAGCTCACTGGCCAGCTAGTCTGGCTTCTGTGACATCACTCCAGGCCAATGAGAGCTTGTGTGAAACAAAAGGTAGCTAGTGTCTGAGGCCCGACACCCAAGGGTACTTGCTCCCTTGCCTCCTCCACCTGTTTGTACCCATACACAAGAATGTGCACACACACTATTTTTTAGCCACCTTTGTCCTTATAAATCTCAAAATCTTAGAACATGTACATTTTTAAAATTACATTCATTAACTTTGCATGCATCATCGTTCACGTACAGAGGACAGACAATCATTCCCAAGAACCTTCTTTCTCTCCACCACGTGTGTTCGACATCAAACTCAAGTTTGTCAGGCCTGGTAACTGATCACTGAGCCAGCACACAGGCCCAGAACATGTAAAATTTTAAATATCATGTATGACTGCTATACAGCTGGGTTTAAGAAACACTGGTCTATGAAATTAAATGTAGGACGTGAAGACCCTCACCTGATGCAGCCATCAAAAGAACCTGGTCTGAAAGGGACTCCCTGGCCCATGTCCCCTAGCAGCAGGTCTCCCTCTGTGTCTCGGTCCAAGGCAGCATCTACATCAGAGGAAAGGTCAGTATGGGTACCGCCACTGCAGATAGGTGTGGTGGGCGGGCCTGTGATCTCAGCAACAGGGAGGCTGAGGCAGGAGCATCTCAAGTTGGGGACTAGCTTGGGCTATATGGCAAGACCTGATCTCAACCAAAATCCCAATTTAGCTGCTCCACACCAAGAGGATAGCCACGTTGGTACAAGACAGAGCAAACTTACCCAACATGGCAGTGCTGATGTCAATGCCCACCCAATAGTGCCCCTCTTCTGAGATGTAGTCTCCACTCAGTCCAGAGCCGCAGCTGGAAGAAACAATCCACAGGCTCTCCCAGAGCTGAACAGTAAGAGACACTCCACCCTACCCAGGCAATCGGACCTGGGGCCCCAGGACCTCACCCGATGTCCAACAGATAAGAGGGCTGACCCTCCGGCAAACAGAGGAGCTCCAATGCTCGCTCAGTCATCTTGGTCTGGATGTCAATCATCCGTGAGCTGGGGAAGTAGAAAAACATAGGAGTGGTCATGGAATTCTAGGTCCTATTTCTCCTAGATCAAAAGGCATCAACTGGAGGTACTTTTCCTAACTTTAAAATTTTATTTACTTCATTTAGTGTGTGTGTCTGTGTGTGTGTGTCTCTGTGTGTGTGTGTGTGTGTGTGTGTGTGTGTGTGTGTGTGTGTGCATGTGATGGTCAGAGGCCAACTTGCTCCATTTGGTTCTCTTCTTCCAACATGTGGGTTCTAGGGATTGGACTCAGTCATGAAGCTTGGTGATTACCCAAACTATCTCACTAGCCCTTGTCCAACATTTTTTTAAAAGATTTATTTATTTATTATGTATACAGAAGAGGGTACCAGATCTCATTACAGATGGTTGTGAGCCATTATGTGGGTGCTGGGAATTGAACTCAGGACCTCTGGAAGAGGTCTTAACCTCTTAACCTCAGTCAGTGCTCTTAACCTCTGAGCCATCTCTCCAGCCCCCCTTGTCCAACATTTTAAACTTACAATTCTAACCTGAATTCAACAAACTCAAATGTAATCATTAAAAGTACTGCCAGGCGGTAGTGGCGCATGCCTTTAATCCCAGCACTCGGGAGGCAGGGCCAGGCGAATCTCTGTGAGTTCGAGGTCAGCCTGGGCTACCAAGTGAGTTCCAGGAAAGGCGCAAAGCTACATAGAGAAACCCAGTCTCGGGGAAAAAAAAAAAAAAAGTAGTCCTGTGATGAGCATGGATGTTTCCACAAAATTCCACCACCACTCAAAGCTGAGACAGTGCCGGGCAGTGGTGGCACACGCCTTCAATCCCAGCACTCGGGAGGCAGAGCCAGGCAGATCTCTGTGAGTTCGAGGCATGCCTAGTCTACAGAGCGAGATCCAGGACAGGCTCCAAAACTACACAGAGAAACCCTGTCTCGAAAAAACCAAAAAAAAAAAAAAAAAAAAAAAAGAGGGGGGAGGGGACTGAGACAAAACTAATAGTTTAATGCCAATCTGGGCAAGACCCTGTCTCAAAACAAATTCAACAAAGTCACCCCAAAAGTCCAACTGATACACTAGCGTGTCATTTTATTGTGTACAAATTTTAAGTGCACCAGCTGCAAAGCTGACAGAAATAGAGCCAATCACTCAGCAGCTGACCAGTCAATGCCTATCTACAACTCTATTGGGTTTTGATGCTTTATTCCTTAGGAATGCATTCTCTCAAAGAGTCATCTGCCATATTTACTCCCATATGCAAGGCTCAACAATGCACAAGTGTTAGGGATGTGTTTCAGCACTTGCCCCACATCCAGCAGGCCCTAAGTTCAATACCCAGTACCTCCAAAAAACCAAAACGATTCACCTCAGTAGTAAAAAGTATGTGCCACCATGCATTCCACCCCCGGTACCTGAAGACAAAAACCTTACAGCAGTGATGGCCATGAGAAATATAACGCAGGCACCAGCTGTGCTGGTGCACACCTCCACAGAACCAGAACCCAAGAGGCAGCGGCAGGCATATCTCTGTGAGTTCAAGGCCAGCCAGGGTTACACAGTGAAACTCTGTCTCAAAAGGAAGAAGCAGGTGGGAGACAAAGAGTAACTAGATAAGAACAGGGCATAGTAGTACATGCCTATAATCTCAGCATCCAGAATGCTGAAGCAGGAGGGTCACTACAAGTAAGGCCAGCCTGGGCTACATAATGTAAACATATTTCAAAAAAAAAATAGGACAATAAACGGTAATCAGTTTACTTAACCCCATATACTAAATAATCATTTTTAAGGTCAACATACTCAAAGTGTTATTTCAATATGTAATCAGCAAAAAATTGTGAGCTGTGTCCTTTTTTTCCCTTCATTTCTCCACATTAAGTCATTCAGACTTACAGAATTTTAATAGCTAGCTACTGGCTGCCATACTGAACAGAATAGTTCTACACCTGGTCTGTCCAAAATCAAGGTAAATAATCACACACAACGAAACCATAGAGTCCTACATGACGGACCATGCCTGCAATTTTAGTCCTTGGAAGGTGAAGACAAGAGGGTCAGGAATTCAGTCACCTCTGATACATAGCAAATTCAAGAATACCCTTAGCTATAAGAGATCATGTTTCAAACAAATAAAACCAAATAAACTATCATGTAGAGGATTCAGACAATGTTTCTGTCAATGGTTGCCATGACAATTTTAGTGCAATCATGTATTTAAATAAGGCTCACAATAAACCCATAACGAGTATGTCCTCCCTCTTAATAGTACTGATTCCTTTCTGGGGGTGTGGCTCAATGGTAAAACTGCCTATAATCCCCAAGTGAGGGGCTGGGGGTGTGGCTCAGTGACAGAGCACGTATACAATATGACAGTAGCCCGTTCGTATCCACTAACTACTGCCTGCTTTACCACATGTTTAAAACACATTGTCAAATGATCTAGTGTAAACTGGAGATGAATACACCTACTCTGGAACCAAGGTACCAAGATCCCTCCAGGAGTTCGACCGTTTAAAGTTCACTTTACCGCTGACAGAACTACATTTACCCTGGTCCCTCATTTCCCCCACTCCCAAATTCTAAATGCATTCCAAGCGACGCCCATGATCCGGGCGACTTGCCGATCCCGACCCCCGATGCCATTCAATAGCCATGCTCCCCTCACTTGCGAACGTATTTCCGGGCTTCATTCTGGTCATAAAACTGTTGGGAAGAGAAAGACACATGGGATATGAGAGGAAGAATCCAAAGCGAGGCATTCTAGAAGAAGATTAAGACCTGACAAGACGCTCACCAGCTCTGGCGGTCCACTGTGCTCAGGTCTCCGGCTACGAGACGCCATCTCTAGGGTCCCGCAGCACGCTGGTGCCGGCAAGCCCCAGCGCAATGCTTTGACGTCATCAACTCCGCGACTGCCTCGTAGCGCTTACGCTCTAAACTTTCCCCGCCTTTCTTTTCATTTGATTGGCTACGAGGCGGAGGCGCCGCCCACGATTCGCGGTTTCCATTGGCTGGCTGGGCCACGCCCTGCCCCCGCCACGACATGGCGGCCGCGCGCTGCCTGGGCTGGCCGCTGTCACCTCTATGGAGACTGTGGCAGCCCCGGGGGTTGCTACAAAATCCGGCCCCGGGCTTGTGCCCGCGAGGGAGGGCTTACTCCCGCACCGCCCTCTATGAGCTGCTGGGCGTCCCCCCCACGGCCACGCAGGCACAGATCAAAGCGGCGTACTACCGGCAGAGCTTCCTCTACCATCCTGATCGCAATCCCGGCAGCACCGAGGCCGCCGAGCGCTTCACGCGCATCTCCGAAGCTTATCTGGTCCTGGGCAGCACCATCCTCCGTCGCAAGTATGACCGAGGTCTGCTCAGAGACCAGGACCTGCGCGGACCCGGTGTCAGGCCCTCTAGCACACCCCCGGCCGATCCCACTCCTCCCCAACCTCCTCGCTATACTCCTCGGGCTCACGGTGGCACTCGGGCCTCTACCGGCGACCGTCGCGCTATATTCGACTTTGACGCCTTCTACCAGGCGCACTATGGAGAACAGCTAGAGAGAGAGCGGCGTCTGCGCGCCCGGAAGGAAGCCCTTCGCAAAAAGAAGGAGGGCCGCTCCAACAAGGGGCTCCGCTGGGACGATACCCGAGATGCCACTTTCTTTATCCTCATTTTCCTCATCTTAGCCTTCTTCGGGTCCCGTATTTAATCGGAGAAAAGGAGGGAAGGGGAACCAGCCCAAGAAACTTGCCTTTCTTGACCTTTGATCTATTGGTTGCCTTTCTTAACCTTTGAACTATTGGTCTTGGATTGAACTGACTACCTCTAGTGGCGTTTTCTTGACTCTCCTAGCACCTTCCCAGCCTGGCTGGTGATCAACATATCCTTCTCCTATGGTCCAGAAAAAGAAGCTCTTCCGTGGCCAAGAAAGAGCCCCCAGGATAAAGACACTCGAAAACTAGACATTTAAGTGCTTTCCGGAGTCCCCTGGATGCCGGTTTGTTTCTAGAAGTTGCCTTCCAGATGTCAACTCCCAGAACCATTGCTCTGGTTTTATCCAGAAGCCCTGAGCAAGCTTTGTCTTGTGCCCTGCCACATGTTTATACCATGGGGCAGCACATCCTCTGTAACCTTTGAACAGTGCAATACATCTGGGTTGTCCGCTGCCAAAAAGATTTAGTTCTTGGGGCTTGCATGAAACTTGTCTTTCTGTGTTACCCCAAGCCACAGGTGAGACTTGATCAACGATCCAGCAGACGCTGGGGATGTACCTAGCTCAGTGAGAGAATGCTAGCATGCAGCAGGTACTGGGTTCAGTCCCCAGCGTTGCTGAGATCGTTGTCCTGTGTCCCCCTTCCCCGCCAAGAAAAAAGCTAGTGCAAGATTGCCATTTTACGCAGGTCTGTTTCACACCACCTCTGTCATGTGGGAGCCAGAAAACAAAGCCCTGGAGTATGAGGAGTATGTGCCTGTGTCCATATTTTTCCAGGGTGTGACCTTGAGGGAAGGTGCCCTGTGGGTGTCAACGCAGAAGAGTAAATGATTTGCTCTCCTGAGATCTGTCACTATTACTCATATTCTGCTCCACAGTGGTGATGTAGGGGGAAGCTACTGGGGCCAAGTTCGTCTTGGGACAGTGTGCCTGTCCTTGGTCTGCCTTTCATTGTAACTGTGCGGCCTGCTAACAAGACTTGGACCTGCATCTGCAGTGTTGATCATAGGTGCCACAAGTCAAATCCTGCTCACGAGAGGCTGTTGGATTGTGGGAGGAATTTTGGGCCCTGGAGCAGCCAGAAGGAGAAGCAGCAGGAGGCTCACTGGTTAAGGTGGAGATGATGTCCAGAGTGTAGGATAGGCCTGTAATGGATGGAGGAGGCTGAGGCTGGAGGATTGTGACCAATTACATAGCAAGGCTTGTCTTTAAAAAGATGTGAAATGACAGGCATAGTGGCTCACACCTTTAATCACACCTTTAATCTTGGTGGGGGGAAGAAAAAAAAAGATACAAAAAAAGTTGAAAACTAGACTCCTCATGTGCTGCTGACCAAGGATTGTAATGAGTTTTGGGGAGAGTTGTCATTTGGATTTGGGGGGAATTTCTGTTGTTTTGTTTTGTTGAGGTACTGTCTAGTAACCCAGGCTGGTCATGAACTCTCTTTGTGCCTGATACTGAACTCTTTTTTTTTTTTATAAAGATTTATGTATTTATTATGTATACAGTGTTCTGCCTGCATGTATGCCTGCAGGCCAGAAGAGGGCACCAGATCTCATTACAGATGGTTGTGAGCCACCATGTGGTTGCTGGGGATTGAACTCAGGTCCTTTGGAAGAACAGCCAGAGCTCTTAACCACTGAGCCATCTCTCCAGCCCAGAGGTCCCCTTACTTCTGACTCACATTGGGAATGAGCTAGGGCATTGTAAGTACACTGGGGGCATGTGTAAAGCCGAGACAATACAGATCCACAGCAGAGCTCAGGATGTGGCTCAGTTGGTAGGGTACTTGCCTGGAATGCACAAATCCCTGGGTTCCACTCCCAGCACTCTATAAACCAGGCTTGAGGTGTTGTAATCCCAGCACTTTTTTGAATCACAGACTGGCCTAGAACTTTCCATCCTCTGCCTCAGTCTCCTGAGTGCTAGGATTTCTGGCATGGGCTAACACATCCACAGGGGTATTGGAGGCTTTCTGAAGGACTACCACACAGGGTTTCCTTGGTATCATTTTATTCTTCCCTCTTCCCAAGACTGTATTGGGTTTTCCCTTTCCTTACTTCCTGTATGCCCTGGCAAGAGAGGTAAACTTGGTGTTGGACATTAGCCCATGCCTCCTGTGGCTGGCTGTTCCTGAATCTGGCAATGGAGGGAGTGGGTGAAGAGGTGCGTCCCTGTACAGAGCAAGGCTGGATAAGCAGCAGGCATGGAGCTGAAGTGTGCAGGCTCCATCAAGCTGACAGGAAACAAAGATCCGTACATCTGGGGATTGTCTTTTAGTCAGACTGCTAAAATGGGCAAACTGGATAAAATGCCCTTTTATACTGACCACAGTGGTGGTACAACCAGATTCCTTCCTTCTGAATCTTTGCCCTCTGTCACGGTTCCAGTATTAGTCAAGACAGGACGTGATAGCGTATGTATATCCCAGCATGTGACCTGCTGAAGCAGGAAGGTCTCCAGTTTAAGGTCAGCCTAGGCTGGATAGTGAGACCCTGTCTCAAGAAAAGGTAGAAGGGGGGCCTGGTGGTGGACTGGAGAAGCAGAAGCAGGAGGATGACCCATGAGTTTGTGGACCAGCTGGGTCTACATAGTGAATTTCAGGCCAGCTAGGGCTATATAGTGAGGCCCTATTTCACAAAGAGGAAAGCGGGGTGGGAGTGGGGCCTATGGATGACTCGGTGGTTAAGGAGTTTGTCTTGTTCTATCCCGGGACCTACGTGGTAGGAGGAGAGAACTGACTACAAAAGTTCTCTTCCAACCTCCACAGAAGCATAGTGGTGTGTGCATGTGTGTACATGTGTGTTCATGTGTGTACATGTGCACCCACACACCTCACACACAGACAAAATAAATAAACGTAATAAAAAGAGATGTGTAGCTTTAGGCCAGGAAGTTGTTTTCTGGGTCACGACTGACTAAGGAGGTCCCCACAGCACCACAGGAATGGCCACCAACACATGTTTTGGGAAACAAGAGGTCCTGTATCTTGAACCTATTCCAGGTCATGAGACCCTAAGAAGAGAGAGAAGGACCAGCTGTCAAGTCACAGGCCTCTCTATTTTTTTTTTAACGTTTATTTATTATGTATACAGTATGCCTGCATGTGTCCCTGAAGGCCAGAAGAGGGCACCAGATCTCATTACAAGTGGTTGTGAGCCACCATGTGGTTGCTGGGAATTGAACTCAGGACCTCTGGAAGAGCAGTCGGTGCTCTTAACCACTGAGCCATCTCTCCAGCCCGTCACAGGCCTCTCTTGGCCATTGTCTTGTGGGTGAGGATGGAGAAATGTGGGAATGTGGCAGCTCAGTTGGTAGGGTGTTTGCCTGGCATTCACAAAGCCCGGGGTTCCAACTGCCGCGCTACATACACTGAGCGTGGTGGTGAGACCTGTAATCACAAGAGGATCCCAAGTTCAGTGTCATCCTAAGACACAGAGGTTTAAGGCTAGCCTAGGCTACATAAGGCCTGTCTCAAAATAAATAAAGGAAAATTAATCTCAGACTTTGACTGCTCTCAGTTCAGCCTCCCTGGGATGAAGTCATACTTCCATCTGCCTGTGGATGACATCATAGGGTGCACCCGCCTCACTGGGTGCTACCCCTCATGTAGGTTAGCTTTCAGATCCACCTTGCAACTTAGGTAAGGTACTACCTTACCTGTAGAGCCTCTGAGTTGGTGAGTAGTGCCCCTCTCTGTGTTAAAACCTTAGTGAGCACCAGAAACAGAACACACCAGAAGCCCTGGGTTCCATCCCTAACATGGCACCAGAGGAAATGGTGGTGCCATCTGCCAGTCCAGTACACAAGAAGCAGAGGAAGAAGGATCAGCAGCTCAGGGTTTTCTACAGGTGCAGTGGAATAAGCCTTTAATCCCAGCATTCCGGAGGCAGAAGCAGGCTGATCTCTGACTCTGAGGCCAGCCAGGGCTACGGACTCAGATCCTGTCTCAAACCATAACAACAAAAATCTGAAGGCAGGTTAGAGAGTTTGGGGCTTGGCGATTTGGTTCCGTAGTTAAGAGCATGTACTGCTCTTGTAGAGGGCCAGGGTCTATTCCCAGCACCCATATCAGGTGGCTCATGATGGCCTGTAACTCCAGCTTCAAGGGATCCAACACCCTTTTCTGGTCTCTGTGGGTACTGCACTCACACATAAGACACAGACACACTGGTACATAAAACAAATAGCTGGGTGGAGGGGGCACACACCT